AAAGCAGATTACTTCCTACTCGTGAGCGCCCCCTCTGGTGGGGAAATGTTTTTTTCAGGGATACAAACTTTTTCAGAACACCGGTAGACGGCAGCCGTGTGTTTGTTGTTCCAGCAGCAGCCCAGTCACACGCTAATGTCATTAGTTTGTTATCATTACTGAGCTGACAGGACTGCTTTTTTCCCCCTTTTTTTCACATCATGTCACCTGCCTGGATCTGTTATTATCTCGCTCTGAAGCACGGAGGAGTGTCAGAGGTAAGCTCGTTTTTAATTGCTTTTTACAATGCGGTCTTCATTTCCGGACTCAATAATTTTGCCGATAGTTCAATTAAAATACATAAGTAATATAAAAATATTTATCTGCGTATAATACCACCTCCCAACTTTATGGATGATTTTATGGATTAAATTTTTCGTATTATACTTGAATAAATACGATAATCCTCACTTAAAAGTGCAGTTTTAATTTATAACCCATAAATCCTTGTCTGTTAGACACATCAGTTGATGCCCCCCACCTTTCTTTTTACAACAGTTCAAAATATTTGTGTTTTTTTGAGTACCATGGTCCGATGGAGCTTCACCCCTGACATGCATACATGTCAGCAGACATGTTTTTCTGGGTGTTGCTGATTACTTGACAGTGGCTGTAGGTGAGCTGTGATTACCTTCTGCTGTCCAGCAGCCTGTCCCTGCTGTGGCAGCCCTGCTTTCTGCTGGGCTGCAGCTGCAGCCTGAATGGTTGCTGGATGTTGGGTTTTCTTCATGGGGATCAGCTGCTGGACCTGCATCTGGGGGAAAGGCGACGCCAGCACAGGGCCGCCTGACACAGGACAGAAAACAGTAGAACAACAAGTCATACCAGCAGACTGTAAACATAAATAACAAACATGGCTGCTTTCTTTTCTCAACAGTTAATGTAGCTTTATAGTTAAATCAAGAGAATATAATCCAGACCATCGATTTGTGTGAAAACAGAAATGAACAATTTTTCAACCCACCAGGTTTCTGTGCCTGTCCAATTACTGGCAGTGCAGACACCACAGCTGGTACCGACACCACAGGAGGTTTAGTCAGGGTCACCTGAGCAGTGTGTCCTGCCTGGGCCTGAATCTGACCCTGAGCTGGCCCTCGAGCCTGTGAAGCCCCACAAAGAATAAATTAGCATGAAGAATGACACAACCTCAATCATTAATATTAGCTGAGAGGAGTTTAGACAGAATAAATTATTATACAAGAACTCTGCCAGACAAATGCATCAGTATCAGACGGAGGTCTTGTGTGTGATTTCAGTGTGAGCGAAGTTTTATAACTGATAACTGTTGATTTGAACAGAAGAATGATGTCATCTTCCTAAAGACTCTGATTAAACTTGGTGATCTACTTCAAACAGTGGGGAATGAACTGTGGGGCTTAAAGCTGGTTTTGGTAAATGGTAAATGACTTGACATTTTTCATGACCCTCCATGAACAATAGAGCTTGTTATGGCAATATTTATTTAACAACAGAGACAGAAATACGTGGTCCGAGAATGAAGGTACTCCGTGAGATGATCAGC